CCCTCAAACCTTCCCGGTGCTCCACAGACCCCCGGGACCCCCCTTGGGCCCCTCCCGGAGGGGGAATCCATGGCCGTTAAGCCCCGCCTCCCTTTTCCGTTAAGCCCCGCCTCCTTTTCCGTTTAGCCCCGCCCCTCTTCTAGACCGCGCCCCGAGCGCGATGACGTCATTATATCAGCAAACAGACTCTCTAACCCCGTCCCCAAACCACGCCCCCAAACCGCTCTCGCACGCTGATTGGCTGTTCTGTAGGACCCGCCCCGGAAGTGCAGGCCCGGAAGTTCCGCCCCCCCGGCCATGGCGCTGTCCGCGCTGCAGCGGGACCCGGCGGGCGGGGGTCGCTTCTCGTCCGCCGTGCCCCCCCTGTGCCGCAGCCGGCCCTGCGCGCTCGGCGTGGACGAGGCGGGCCGGGGGCCGGTGCTCGGTGAGCCCGGGACGGGGAATCCGTGGGTAACGGGCACGGGGGACGGCGGGAGGTGGTGTGGGGAACCGAGGGTTGAGTTTGGGGGTCTGGGGTTTGAGTGGGAGGGGTCCCGGTGCACCGGGGATTGAATGGGGGGGTGGTCCCGGTGCACCGGGGCTCCTGTCTCACCCCCCGGTGCCCCCCCAGGACCGATGGTTTACGCGATCTGTTACTGCCCCGTGGAGAAACTGGAGGAACTGGCGGCGCTGGGAGTGGCAGGTGGGGGGTCCCGGGAGGGTCCCGGGAGGGTCCCGGGGGTCCCGAACAAGGGGCACAGACCCCCCCGGAGGGTCCGGGGTCAGGGGGCTCCGGAGGGGTCCTGGGTTGGGTGAAGGAAGTCCGGGGTTGTCACAGGAATCTTGGGGGGAGATTTGGGGGTCCCAGGGTTGGTTTGGGGGTCCCAGGGTTGGTTTGGGGGTCCCGGGGGGGGGTCCCTGACCCCTTTTTGTCCCCCCAGACTCGAAGACGCTGTCGGAGGCCGAGCGGGAGCGGCGCTTTGAGCTCCTGGAGGCTGCGGGGGACTTGGTGGGGTGGGGGCTGCAGGTGCTGCCCCCCGACCACATCTCTGCCTGCATGCAGCAGCGGTGAGACCCCCCCGGGACCCCCCCAAACCCCTCCAAAAATCCC